CTTGGATGATGCCATTGGCAGAGGGCAAGAGGTGCTTGTCGAGGATGAAAGAGAGCAGAGGAAGGAGATGATGAAAACAATGAGGAAAGAACACAGGCGAGGGGTAGATTTAAAGGTGGCGGAAAGGAGAAAAGCTAGGAAAACTCCGGTCACCTGGAAGACTTTGAACGAAGAGGAGGTGATCCATTTTGGTTCATTTGACTTTGGGATATGCATCTTCTTTGTGATTTCCGTGGTTTGCTGTGAGCGAAGTCACACGACATCAGTGTTGTAAAGTGGTACAGTTACGTCATCTCATACCTCATGCAAGACGGTGGCTGCAAACAGGACCCTTTTAAGCTTGCCTTAACCTCCATAGCTAATCAAAACCTACCCTTAAATATCGAATTAAAGTTCCTTGTCCCTTCACTTGACCAGTTTGCAGTAGAAAAGTGATCGCTATGACTATTCAAATCTCACCTCCTCCTCTTCACATCCACTAACAAGTCTTCACTCCCCTAACTTTGAAATGTGACAAGTACATGACAAAAGAAGGGGCAGAGGAGGATTAGACTGTTCTGAAGGAGGAAGTGAACAACACACAACCCAAAGCAATGCAGCTTCCATGTTGTCGTGACCTCTTTTGTGATTGGTCGCAGGCAAATAACGCAGGAAACGAGCATTATTAGGGAGGACGATGTGCTCATTTTCTACTGTTAGTTGGATGAAGTCTTAAGGTATCAAGTGACTCGTTTTCCTTCTATTTTGGCACTTTAATTATTTAGATCGGAGAGCACGTCTTCCATCGGCTTCTTTGTGCTCGGAATTCTAAGCACGCGTTTGCTGTCTTATGGCGCATGTCCTCCTTATGCAGCTATGCACGGCTTTTAGCAAGGAAAGAGCTGGCATCATTAATTTACTCGAAATTTTTATTCCTTGATGACCGACAAGCAACTTGATTAGTTTGTATTCTATAATGATAGCAAAATGAGTTTTTGATAGTACTAATAAATCATGGGAAATCCAGCATTATTCTCTCTCTCTCTCTATCTCTCTCATAGCCGATGGTCTCCTCCTAATTTGTTTACTCGACAACAAAAAGTGGTCATGGCCTCCTAATTCATTGACTTTGTTCAACTACGTGGATGGTGGGGAAGTAAGCTTCTTTTTGACTTGTTCTAGAACTGCCAAACTAGCAGTGCAAGTCAATGGATTGGAACATCCAAGACTTTGTTGCTAAGTGAGGCGATCAACAGCGTTCCAAAAGACAACCAACCCACCGCGGTCAATCCCATCACACACAGCGTGTGTGTGCAATATGAACTTTATGACCGAGTCCAGTCAATAATGCAGTGGCCGTAAAAGTCTCAGCATTTCTGGCACGGCATCGTCTTGGTCTTCCAAGTCACTCAGAAATCATTGTGATCGCATCACATTTAGATTCTTGCAGACTATCAATTTCATCTAACTCAAAATTTTCTTGTTCATAGGACATATCAATATTATTAATATCGGAAACTACGAGTACACGAACGTCACACTCAATTGGGCCTCTGAGTTATAATTAAAAGTGGGTTGAATGCATCTGAATCGATTAGTCCGATTCGCAAATTACGACATGCGAATCTAATCCGACGCTTTGGTCACCTCCCAATCTATCAACTCGCAAAAGCTTTAATTCTCCGGATTAATCCCTTGTGCGCTCTTGCGTTTTACTGAGTCGCCAATCAAAGACTTCGAAGTTGATGTTTGGCGGTTCTCTCGCTGCGACGGTGGCCGAGGAGCTGCGAAAGCCGGACGGAGAGGGAGCGGGTTCACGCGCCGTTTCAGTTGCCGGTAACAACGGCTTACGTCAAGCTCGCAAGACTCCGGAGGGGCTCGCCGGAGGGAGCGTTCCGTGAGGTGGAGGAGGCGTGCCGGAGCTTCGAGAACTATCTGGTGGAGATGATTTGAAGTCTCCATCAAGTGAAGTATTACAAAGCCCAGGCTTCCAAATAGAACTAAGGTGCCCTTGGGGAGGAGGACTGTAACAAAAGCTAAGGGACAGAACCCCACGGTCCCAGCGACACGTGTGATCAAGCGGCAAATCGAGGGTCTCGTTCCTTTAGATTTGGATCCAATAGCATCAGCGTGGAAAGCTGGAAGCAAAAGGGAGTTCACAGCTAGCAATCTTTGGTCAAAGAGCAAGCATTATCCTGAGCTTTGAAATTGGCATCAGATACAACATGCAATCCTAATTCTGAGTTTGACTGCATTAGCTCATATGAAGTACTAAGGATCTGGAACACTGTAGCCGTAATAGAAGGATTATTGGATCCGATTGCAATCATCTACTTCGTCAAATAGCATAATGAATACACAGTAGCTGTGCTGTTTGTTGTTGCATGTTACTTGTGCTTTGTTTCTGCCCTTCGCAGCGTAGAGAAGCCGGAAAGAGTTTAGTGAGAGGATCTTTCATTCTGGTTTGTTGGCAGGCGGACCGATCAATATTACAAAGCACAGTGATAAGCTCCTCAGGTTTCACTGTTTGCCTTCGTTGAGAGGAGGGAGGTCTGCAGCTCAAAAAGACTGTACTGAGATCTCCATAGCTGCGTTGGGAAACACTATTGTAGCGAAATAATTCTAATATTTTTTTCCTCTTTACTTGTTATCAAAAATAAATATTAATCAGACCAATATAAACAGTAAAATAATAAATCAATCATAAAATAAGACATCAAATTTTTATGTGAAAAATCTAAAAAAATCACATGACCATAATCCATCTCAAACTTTCATTATCACTAATAATAATAACAGATTTACAGTAAATCTTCTTCGGAATAATCAAAGGATCATAATAACATCAAGAATGTAAATCTTGACTCAACCATAATATATCATCGTCATCACAAATTTTATAAAAAGGAAAATTTAAGTATCACAAAATAGGTATAACATAAAAACACCATGGAGAAGATAAACTGTAAATCAATACAGTTAAGATTGTAAAACTTATTACAAGAATTGTTCACATAAAATTTGAACTACTTCATGTGAGCAAACTCTACAAAGCAACATCATGAGCTAAGTCTCTCCGTAATATTCTTAATCATGTTAACAACTTGCACTGCAGCTGGAGATCAAAGCCACAGGTGCGATCTTCTGCGCACTCCTACTCTCAGGATTAAGACGAGTTATTGAATATTTAGGCTGATGCATCAAATAGCTCTGAATTCCTGAAAAATGTCTCATACTCGGCGGTGCAGTTACAAAAATGCGCGCTCACCGACTAAAGTGGGTAACCGCTGCTGTGCTAAATGCGCCCGTTCGAGCGGGCAAATGCCACTGAGTCCTCGCCGCTCGCGATAACGAATGCGAGCGTCTACACGCTAACTTACGCCGGGTGACGGATCCTGTGCCGCAGGTGTGGCGGCGGCCCAAGGCGCGGGATACGGCCGCGGCGGAGGACGTAGCATGGAAGCGGAGTGATCTGATGAGGACGGGGTCACACCCCCAGCGGTGCACGTTCAGGTGCCACGGTTGCACCCCTGCTCGTCGGTGCACGTGCCGGTCTCGCCTATAGGTTTTGAGACAAATATGTTTTTAATCATATAATTAAATCACGTAATCAAATCAGCTACTCAAATATATGATTTATCCTTAAATTTTAGATTTTCATATATCTCCCTTAATCATATATTCAAATCAAGTAATCAAATCAACTACTCAAATATATAATTTTTTTTTATATATTTAATTTTTATATATCTTTTATCATGTCCCTCGTAAGATTGAACTTCTATAAAAAAAAAAAAAGTTAATCTTTGAATGGTCTTTTATCATCATGCCCCGCAAGATTGATCTAAAGTCAATCTCGGAATAGATCCATGGCTTTTGATCCTCTAGTGTTATCAACGTGGTGTTTTATAATGGGTATTGTTTTGGTCCTCCACAGTTGTTAGCACAACCTTTGTTATAGTTTCCTTTAGGATCTCTCTCTCTCTCTCTCTCTCTCTCTCTCTCTGCGCGACAGAGCAGCAGTTGTGCAGCCACGAAAGACGGGTCAAACAGAAATAGACGTGCCATTTGCTTACAAGATAAGCATTTGCTTACGGGTCAAACCAGCAGACTTATTGTAAGGTTCATGTTGCTCTTCCTCCACCGACAGAGAAACAAGTACGACAGAAGTGTAGAGAGACTGGTGAACCAAAGCGAGAACCTCTCTTACCTCAGCCTACCAGTCTGCCAGCCATTGTTTCTTGTAGGTTTCTGAACTAGACGACGACGACAGCAATCGCTTCTTATGGGATCTCACTTCAAATGCTTTCAATGCGTGTTATAATTACTCAATTCACTAAACAAATACAAAATCTAAACCACAAGTGGGATTTGATGCGTTTCATGCCACCACTTGTCAGACCACCTTCAAATCCCACAATGGTGTCTTTCAACGAAAGCAGTATTTTGGAGGCTGATATAGATGTTATTCTGCAGGTGCACTTGACATTTATCAGACGTGAAGCCCTCATTTTTGTGCTTGGCGTACAACCTTCAAACATCTTCCTACTATTGTGTGCTCAAACTAAAGAGTCACGCCCTTAAATTGATTAGGGCTCAGATGTTATGCGAGCCTTTTGGTAAGATAAAATTCAGATTGCTGACAAGTATATGCATTCATGTGAAATTTAGACGATTGGATATCTCAGATGAGGCAAAGTTGAAATTCACAAAGGATGGAATTATTAAACACAATGAGATGGTTTTTGGTCCCAAAATGTGACAACCATTTGAACCGATCAATACCACAAAACCATTAAAGAATGGAGTTGCTGCACTATCAGTTTCATAAGGTATATATAGTACTGGTTGATGTTCATGTATGACTAAGATATAATGATCCATCTCCAGTGTCGGCATGTTGATGTACTGTGTTCCTTTAGATTAATTTTCATTAAGCCAAATCTATTGTGCTATCTCTTTCTAAAGTCAACATGAGAAGGATTCCAAATTATGAACAAGCTAAGCAGAACAGATCTGGCATTCTCCACCAAAGAGAACCTCCTTTCTTCCTCTCTTTCTTTGTTCCCCACTCATCAATCAATCTGCCATGGAGGATTCGATCTGAGTTAACTGTAACATCATCAACAACACCGAATAATTCCAAACATCTCCTTTACCCTCCTACTTCTTGTCTTTTGCTGATCGTTTATGATATTAACTTAGGCCCACTTTCCCTTGCCTTTTAAGCACTCCCTTACCTCTCAAGCACTCCTTTCTTCCTTCATATACCATCTCTCTTTCTCTTTCCGAGGAGCATGCCTGAATGTCCACAGCAAGGTAAGCAACACCGGTGATTCCATCCCTCATCATCTCTTTATTTGTGGCATGCAATATGTGAAGATTTTAGCTCCGCTGAGTTTTGTATCTTTCATCCCCTGTTTGATCTGCATCATAACTGACACCAAGATAGTATCCCTGCACTCATGTATCAACACAGCACCAAAACCCTAACCCTACGGCTCATCCTTTTCCTTTCATGTTGTGCCACAGGGAGAAGCTTGATGAGGTAGGGAAGAAGATCAAGAGGGAGGTTGATGTCTCCGACCACATGGCACGGCCAGGCCCGGTTGGGACCCTGAACAAGACAACTCCATGCGCCGCTTGTAAGCTCTTGCGGCGGCGATGTGCTCAGGAGTGCCCCTTCTCTCCTTATTTCTCCCCACACGAGCCCCAGAAGTTCGCATCGGCCCATAAAGTCTTCGGTGCAAGCAACGTCTCCAAGATGTTAATGGTAAGAGAGTAGATTTGTGGATCTCTGCAATTCCTCGTGCATGGAACTTGCAGCATAATCTGTTTCTTTCTCGTGATCAGGAGGTTTCTGAGAGCCAGAGAGCTGATGCAGCAAACAGTCTCGTCTATGAAGCAGACATAAGGCTCAGAGATCCTGTCTACGGTTGTATGGGAGTCATCTCAGCCTTACAGCAGCAAGTCCAAGCCTTGGAGGCAGAACTTGCAGCGGTGAAGGCGGAGATACTGAAGTACAAGTACAGGCAAACCAATGCCGCCATCCTTCCCACATCTCATGCTACCGCTTTGCTCGCCTCCTCCGTGGAGATCTCAGTTGCTGCACCACCACGCCTCACGACTACCGCTCCTGCCACCTCCTCTTCTTCCATGTACACCGCTGCTTCCAGCTCCACAGATTACAGCTCCATCACCAACGAAAATGTTGCTTACTTCGGGTAGAAATTTATTACATGTCGGAGGTAAAAATTGGAATATATGTTCGGTTCTTTTTGGATTTAGTTGGTGTCCAGAAAGCCCATGCAGTATCTGGAACATTGTTTCACGGTTCATGATCAAGCTTTATGCTTCTTAAGCTTGATATATTAGGAGAGGATTCACAGTGCTTTGGGGTTGTCCAATACCGCACCACTAATTAGCAGGGATTAATTACTAGTCTTTATCATGCATTATTAGAATAAAGATTCGTCTCAGTGCAGAAGCATGGAGATGTGAGCATGCATGTGTGAGTGACATGGTTGACTGAACTGGGATTTGGGGTTTGCTTTTACATGTTTGTCTGTGCCTCTAAGAAAGGATCTCAAGGTTTCAGCATTTAAGGAGGGGGACAAAGTTTTATGACTGATATGATTCTCCCCATGCGGCCTTGGTAGCTTCTTATGGACTTGGCCATTGACTCATTCATTCATTCCCTTTCGAAAATGGAACCCTAACCCTACCTTTGGAAATGGCAGTGCTTACTGCCTTGGATATTTTTATCTTCTTCCTCAAAAGACCTTATAACAATTTCTTCTTCGATATTACTTTGACTAATCCAATCTAGTTTTATTCAGTATATCCCTGTTGTCAGTAGCTGATGCTGCTTATGTAGTGGTCTACGACTGATTCCTTTTCTCCATGGAAGAGAAGCATCATCCTCGGTTAGGAGGTCTTAATCCTCTTCATATGGTTGTACAAGTGCCCTCGGTGTTGGCGGGCTTCACAAGCTCACATGGGAGTACAAGTCAGAAAGCAGCAAGTAAATAGTTTCAAGTATGGTTGAGAGTAGCCAAGCTCTTCTTCAAGCAGCAACCCTTGCTTGGATAGGGTGGAATTATCTTCATTAAAGAAGGTCAAAACAAAAGAGATAAACAGTATTGCATTCTCTATCAGGTTTCCTTTTCTTCAAGGAAAAACCATGGGAAGAACAATATGTATATGGCTGAAACTGGATGGTTTCCTTGGCGTGTGAAGTTTCAATCGACGGTAACACGTGTGAAGTTTCCTTGGCATGGGAAGTTTCCTTGGCGTGTGAAGTTTCAATGGCTGAAACCAGAGTGATGATGCCAAGATGAGAGTAGTATAATATAGTATAGTATAGTATAGGAACACGAGGAGGACAATATAAAATGAGGGTAGTATAGTATAGTTTTGCCAGCTTTCATTCTTCCATCACATTACAACTTGCTGTATCTCCTGTTTGTCAAGTGGCTTCCACGAATGCGATGGTGTTTGGACAACCATCTTCTTGGTTGCTTGAAATGGTGGCATCTCGAGATGCTTATTTTTCCCATCTCCCGGAGACTCCTAATTAATTCCACCCTTATCCTTTGCGTTGTGGCATGAGGCTGCTTGCATTAGACGAGGAAATAGCATCTATATCAAGAGAAGTTTCGATTTTACCACCACATCCAACACAGTTTTGATTGCCATCTATAAACACCATCTTCTGCGTCCTCCCTTAAAGCTGGATTCTTTTTCACTTCTCTTTCGTAGGATCGAATGCAGAAGAACTTGATTGCCATCTTTCTATGCTCTAAAGTTAATAATAAATTATGAGCTTAATGATAAGATGCCATCAATTATTAGTTATGTTAATTGCCTTTGTGAAGATTTATGGATATTTCGAAGGCACATATGAAGATAAAAGAGAAGGCCTAGTGGACCCTCCTTATAGTACTAGTTGATAAATCATCATTTGTCATCATTAGCACAAGTACGAGGGTTCACGAGAAATTGTTCGTTTTGGATGAGTTCACATGGTTTTTCTTTTCGATGTAAACCCCAATTGTATCTCTAAGGATGGAGGGTGACTCTAGTGCCTATAAGATCTTGGTTCACCGACTCTTCAAACGATGTGAGACTTAACATACTTATCAATGAAATCTCATAATTTTATGATTTCATGAATTCATGATCGTATACGTAATAGCCTCAATATCTATCCACTTCTTTATGTGTCGTGATTACCTATCGTACTATAAATATCATTGGGTATATCATCATGAATAATTACGATTAATATTTAATAGATTTGATATTGGACTGAATCCTCTAAGATCACATGCTGGTTTAAGCATCGGAGAGGCTTTGCGTCTTCAATATAATTTTTATAGGATTTTGATTCAATAATAACATTCTTGACACCAACTCCATTTGTGAGAGATTCAGAAAAGAGTCATAGTTTGAATTATCATCTATGCTAGACAATCATAATAATATAGATTAACATATTGACATTAGAAAGAGGACTCATAAGATCTCAAGTCACTTACTAAGGGGGCACGTTTAATCCCACGTTGATTGAAGAGTTATTTTACCACCTTTGTGCTCACTCCAATTAATATAAATCAAATTATTTTAAAATTATTTTAAATAAATCTCATCATCACCTAAGTCAAGTTAGATCACTATTGGTAGGGATGCGGCATGACATAACCGTACCATACGACATGACTCATCTAGGCTTGTAACTCATGTGACACAAACACTATCCACATATTCACATCTGGCCTACAATCTATATGCCCTCCTATCGATGCATCTTTTATTTTTTTTATAAAATATATTTAATGAAGTTGTGATTTTATTGTTTATAAAGAGTAAGTAATAAATAAAGAGATTTTATTCTAATATCTTACTATCAATGGTTAAAGTTAGGGATGTTAATTATACGTGTGGGAATAAAAAAAAAAGGGCGAGGATGATGAATATTTTATTGTATTCATATAAATATAAGATGGGACAGATAAAACACTCCTAGTCTTGTACCCATACTCGTAGTTGGCTCATTAATACATGGGCTAAGTTGCTATGCTCAAACACTAGATAGGCTAGGTTTCGTTATTCTAATTAGACTATGTGAACTTTGATTAAATCGATTATGTTTCAATTAAAAAATCATTTAGTTCAATTAAATTAAATAAAATATTTTTTCCATTGGATAGTAATAACTCCTCCTCGTGGTCTCATATTTTGTATGTATCCAATCCTTAATCACAAGCGATGCCATGGTGACTATTTGACTATCTTCAAAGGTTATCTCCTCCTTATTTCATCACACTCTCTTTCTCCCTCCTTTCTTTTGCCCTCCTTCATCACAATACCCCCTCCTCATTGTTGCAACCATCGCAGCCCCTCATCCCCTCATCGCAGTAGTCCTCGCCCACTCCACAACCTCACCTCATTGATGGTTGCAACCATCGCCCCTCCCTACATTTTTCCCCGAACCCCCTCCATCTTTCCCTTGCTTCTCTTACGAATTATAGTAATTTTGATTATGTTTATATATGAATATATTTATCTTTTATTATGTATATATTTTTGTATTATTAATTATGTTTGATAGTATTTTTTTAAATTTAATAGATCAATTAGAAGGATATGGAAAACTCATGAATTCCCTTCCCGAACGAAGATTGTCCATCCATGTCCTGTCTTGTCTAAATGGGAAATTAAGATTTCGTATCCCTAGTCAAAATCCTTATTACCTAAGATGATATTTTTTAAAATATATCGAAGAAATCTTAATTTCGTATTGGATCTAGCTTAACATTTGAGGTAATTTAGCATAACAAAGTTATATGTGATGATCCTTTTATAACTTGTAGACCACTGCAAACCACATCAGTTGGGGTTTGTGAATAGCATGAGACGCCCAACATCGATCCTTCATCCTAAAAGTTAATGTTATGCAATCATAAAAATGATGAGTAATCTATTGACCGCGGTTATAATCATAATAGTGATGATAGCAGATAAGCTTTATCAAATTATATGAGGAAATCTCTCTACTTTGTTAAGGGAAATCCTCTACTTTGTTGAGGGAAATCCTCTATTCTGTTGAGGGAAATCCTCTATTCTGTTGAGGGAAATCCTCCCTCCTAATCTTTATAAATAGGAGATGGACATGTTAATGCATTCAAGCTTCTTCAATCAAGCTTGAATGCATTGTTAATGCATTGTATTGTAGCATCGAAAAGATATTATATTCAAGAGAATATCCTATGAAAATGTAAGGCTTAGATGATCTTATGTGGTGTATAGGGACGTAGATATGAATAACATAAACAATCAAATATTCTAAGTTTATGAAGGTTTAAGGGATTTAAAAAATAGTTTTTTAAATGATGATTAATATTGGAGGACTGGAGTGAGCATACGATTAATAAGGTAGATGGCAGTTTGAAAAGTTGCATACCAAAAAATGGTTGGCATGGAGGCTTGATGTAGAAGAGTGGGACTAGTTTCTACGATATGTCGATGTTTGCGTTCAGTAGAGTCAACTAGTTGAGGAGTGTGTGGAGGTGACTTAAAGTGTTGGATGCCACAGGTTGAGAGGTAGGATGTGAGGGCTTGATATTCATCGCCACCATCAGAGTATACTGTTTTAATGGTAGACTGGAAGAAGTTTTCGACCATCTTTTTAAAGTTGGTAAAGATTGTTAAAACTTCTGATTTATGACAGAGAGGGTATATCCATGTATACTTAGTAAAATAGTCTATAAAAATAACATAAAATCTAAACTTATCAAAGGAGGTGACGGGAGCAGGGTCCCAGACATTAGTATAAATAATTTTAAATGATGTAGAAATTGATATGAAAGAAGTGTCAAAAGAAAGTCTATGACTTTTATTACTGAGATAAGCATTGAGTGATAATACTTATATTTTTAAGAGTAGAAAGAGAATAATGAAAAAGTAATTTATTTTGTATAGAGAGTGAGAGATGACCGAGATGACGATGCCACACATCAATTGGAGTTGCAACTGAGTAGACAATGAACTGTTTTATTTGTGGAACTGACGGTCATTCATAAATATTATCTTTACTCTGGTCTTGGACCAATGATGCCCTCATGCTAAAATCTTTGATAAGAAAAGAGTTAGGAAAGAATTCAATGGAGGTATTATTTTGTTTATAAAATTAAGAAACGAAAATGAGATTTCGTTTAATATGAGTGCATATAAAATAATACCTCAATTGAATTCTTCCCTAACTATTTTTTTATTAAATATTTCTTCGTATAATTAAAAAAATTTTATCTACTATCAAACGATATATTTATATCTATTTTTATCGTAATGAGTGCATACGCGTTTACTTGTTTTGTGTTGTCTGATTATATTTCATGCATGATGTTGTATTGTTGCGAAGTGAGATGATTATTCATATATGAGTATACATGACATCATATCTACTGTAACATGCAACAACATTGATAAGCGAGATCTAACAAGTATACATTCGAATGCCATGTCTGTCCGATACTTACCATATCTTAGTAACATTCTATGCTTCTGGAATTATTATCTACTATTAATATATTGTATACATTAATATCAAATTGGCAATCTTTTTTCCTTTTAATTGGTATTTAGTTCATATATAAAATATCATTTATTTATTACTTAGCATATTGGTACATGTTATTTCTAATGTCCCCATTTTTTATCGCTATTGGGGATTAGAGGTACGGTATAAATTAAAGCATTAAATGATAGTTGATCGATCTTGTTATTTAGTCAGATATATTGATGTGTTTATTAAGAAATATGTAAAGAAAAATGTATTATGTAAATGTTCATTGAGATTCACGAATTTAAGATTGGAGTTGAGCTCCGTCGGATAGACGGCGGTGCAGAGAGAGAGAGAGAGAGAGAAGATCGCAAAGACTGGTCAAAGCCGATTCTTTGACTGCTTTCTACATAAAAGTCGTGTCATATTTAAGCTTACGACCAAATTAGCCAACTCGTGTATTTATTCAAGTCCATCTTTAATTGATCAAAAATATATCTGAATTCAGTTTAAAATTTGAACGTTATCATTATTAATTATTCAAATCAAATCGCTAATATTATTATTATTATTATTAATTATTATTATATTAATCGCAAATGTATTATTATATCTGCTGCCGATCCATCGGATTCTCTCTCTCTCTCTCGCTCTCACCCACGCACACACATTATAGCAGTCTTCTCTTCGCGTGGATTCGCGCTCTGCATTCAAACGCGGCGTCCGCTTTCACCAGCTTTAAACAGACAAAAGCTAAACAAGTGTAGCAGACATGCCTCGACCAGTCCAATCACCCAACCACAATTCGAGCATGCAAGTCAGAGAGAGAGAGAGAGAGAGAGAAGAGACGGTAGGGACCTCCTCCCTCTGAGATAAAGACGACGCAGGACCAACGCAATGGAGGAGGAGACCACGGCGTGGCGTGCATCGACTCAAAGTCACCGTAATTCTCGCTGCCCCAAGGCCACTCTTGCCTCCTCTCGAGAGGCGTGAAAGGCGCCATAGCAGACGTCCCCACACCGTCCATCTCAGATGCTCGTGATCCCCTTCACATCTTTCAAAACCATTGCACATATAGAAGAAGCATGGCCGATACCGACAAATCTACGGCGCGTATGGTGAGAGAGTACCGCCGCTTCGGGATCGGACTGGGAGCGTGTGAGACAAACGCCTACACATGCGCTTGAACGCCGAATCCGAGTTCTAATGTTGAAGATTGTGATATGTTGTAGCATGCATGCATGCATCCCTAGAATTGGATCTGAGAACGAAGCATTACAAGAAAGCCACCCCAAGTCAGCATATTAATAATTATGGATTCAAATCCACTTTTCTCCGACATAGATCGGAAAAAGAGACTAGATTTTCTTATAATACACGTACAACGAAAGATAAAACGCAGCCACTCATGCCTGAACTAATCTCAAGTAAACTAGACGCAAGGGGGGAAGGCTCATGCTGCGACTACATGGATGATGCTTTGCGGACGAAGTATCTGTAAGCCGCGACCTTTCTTCTTCTCGAGCTGGTGTTGTCTATGGACAGCACCATCTTCCCCGCCTCCCTGGCGATGAACACGTCGTGGATGGGCTCGTCGGCCGCAGCCGGAATCCTCCTTGTCTTCTCCACCACGACCGTGTAGCTCCCCTCGTCGCTCGGCACGTACTCGGCGCCGTAGTCCAAGTCCCATCCTCCTACCGCGATGTCCCATGCGATGGTGGCCTCTGCCTGAGCCAATCCACCAAGAAATCAGTTCTACAATGATCTACGACTCGAGAGGACGAATACTGCATCGTATGGCTTCATGTGCAGCGAGCACATGGCTGAGAGTCGAGTCCCAAAGGTGCTGCTTCCGGATAAAACAAATGGTGTGCTACCATTAACAATGACAAGCGACCAAGGGATTTGGTTGTGTGAGAATACCTCGATGCCATCGATTTCGAGGTTTACTTTTTCTCCGCCCTTGATGGTGAACTCGGTGGCCGGCTTGGGAGGGCCGTTCTGCAGGTCGCCCGGCCGGCTCAACCCTCCATACTGTACCGGCACAAACTCTGGCCTGATGAACCTGCAACCCCAGTTGTCCTCAGGGTCAACGAAAGAAAATGGCACAAGAATTCGAGAGCAGAGAAGAACGGGGGAGGATGGAGTGATTTTACTTGTAGAGTGTCTCCGCCACATTGCCTTCTCTGGCGATCACAAACTTGCTCTTCGTCCGGTCTGTCAGAAATGGACTTATCATTGCGTACAGCACGCTGAAATACCAAGGGACGTTGATGAACACCTGCGTTTGATGCATACATAGATTACAGGGCATGTTATGATTGTTGAGAGAATGAAGGCAACAAGGAGGAAGATTGACCATGGACATACCTTTCTGGCCACCATTTCCGGGTAGTTGTCCTGGAAGAGGGAGAGTATGTGCTTGGAGGCGGCGCGGAGCTCGCGCTTAGGCATGTCCTTGAGGTCGGTGACCTGGATGATGGAGTTGATGCCGCCGGGGCGGAGCTGGAGCAGGCGGACGCCGCGCTCCATCACTTGGACGCGCCACCGGAGAAAGCGCTGCAGCTTCTCGGCGTCACCAAGGATGCGGTCGTACATAGCCTTGTCTTTGAAGACGCCGTAGGCGTTGTAGCACACCGGGTGGCCCCGGCGGTCCCAGCCGTGCATGTACGCCACCACGCCCTCCATCTCCTTGAACCCCACCAGCTCCTCGTCCGCCAGCCCGTCCGCGCCGAACTCCCGTCGCCACTCAGCACACTGCAGCAGCATGGCGTGCGACTGCCCCGCGTCGAAGTCGCGCGCCCGCAGGAACTTGAGGAGCACCACGTCCGCCCGCTCGTCGCCGCCGCCGCCGCCGCCGCCAGCGGGGGTGACCGGGACGCCCCATATGCTGATGGGCTTGGTGGAGGTAGAGAGGAGCTGCTTGAGTTCCTGCAGGGCCTTCAGCTCCGAGGACCTGAGGCTGGAGGCGAGGTAGGAGTCCTCCTTGAAGGAAGAGGAGCGCTGCAGGGCGGCAGTGGCGGTGGTGGCGGCGGCAGCAACCTCCATGAGGGAGCTGAGAAGGCTCCGCTTGGTGGCAGGCTTGGGCGAAGGGACGGGCTCAGGGGTTGCTTGAGATGGCTCCATTGTATGAGACGAGAGAAACGAGAGTGAAGGTAAGCCTGCGTTGGGTCTTTTCTCAGAGCTTTATCAGCTTAGGAGGAGTGGCAGGTGGGGAAGTTTGAGAGGAGAGAGAAGGGAGAAGAGGTGGGAAGTTAAATTGAATGGAATTGAATGGTTGCGGCCGGAGGGTTTGTGACATTATGATGATGGCGTGATGGAAGTCCTGTACAGCTTTTGTTATTTTGTGGAGCCTCTCAGGGGACATGGGTGGCCCGTGACTACTTCTTTTTCCCCTTATCTCCATTCACAAATATATATATATAGCTTAAAGCATCATTTCCAATTCTACATCTGAAAGTATTCAATATTGGGAGGATGAGAGGAAAAGTAGCTCCGTAAAAGTAGCAAAAGCCAAAGTTAAATCACGCATTGCCACCCTACACAAGAGATGTTAAAGGGATGATTTCTTGAAATCCAAGGCATAAAATAGTGGGTGGGAGGCAGGCAGGCAGCAGGGGAGAAGGAAGGCGAGAAAGACGGAAGAGACTGGTAGGTGGACAGGTGAAATTGGAACCAAAGTCTACAGCAGTGCGACAAACTTGCGCTCGATACAGTGGCATGGCCATCTGAAGAAAGACCTGACGGGCCACAAGAGTCAGACTGAGACTGCTGCAGGTGGAGGAGGAGGACGGGGGTGTTAATGGAGAGATGCGTAGTTTGTGCCGGAGGAAGTCTCTTTTGCTGATGAGACGGGTAACCCAATATAGGCAGGGCGAGACACGGAGCCGATCGAGGCCAAGCGGCCATCAGCGTCCTTGCATTACTGTAGCTGAAAACGAAATGAGAGTGACCGAGGGGGGAGGCGAGGCTGCACATGGAAAACAGTACATGGTCGCAGTGGCAAGCATCACGAGGCACCACCGCTTCCTCCGAGGAGATACTGCGTGATTTGGGAACGGTGGGGGGGTTGGGGGTTCACCAGATGGTGGAGAAGCGCGCCATGGGTACCTGGCGGCACACCGTCGTCCCGAGGGTTGTTCCTCTCGGTGTGACACCGCAACTATGCAAAGGAAAGGGAATAGAAACCGTGATGGAGACTGCTCGAGATCCACTTGTTGCTCCGGGAAGGGAAACACCATATGTTCTTGTCATTGCTGCGGCTGGGTATCATGTAATAATAGCATGATATAAGAACGGAATGTTGTATGTTTGTGTTTCTTATTCACAAGATTGTAATTATGTTTCATTGTGGTGATCCACCAAATCAAAATCATTTGAAGTTCACTGTTCCGGTGCAAGCATTTGAGCTCCAAACATCCATTATCGCGTCAAGTGATGGATGATTGGAGCTCAAAAGAAGAGTCCAACGAACCCTTCACACTGCTCTCTCTGCCTACTTCGCCCTTTCACCAACCAAAGAAGGCATCACTTTTACCTTTTACTTTCATAGTATCTACCACATATAAAAAGCAGCGTCGAGTAGACAAGTCGTCTTACATCCTACGTTTGTTTGTGTACACTAAACCTCTTTTTCTACGACATGTTTTCTGCAGGACTGTGAGTCCGTCCATGGATCACACACATTAATTTATGAAACCTCGATTGAATTCTGGAAGGTGCACTTTCTGGTGTGTGGAAACTCTAGAGAGAGAACTGTGCTAGTGCTGTTAGCTGAAGACAGGGGAACCTACCACTCTTGTGTGTGCGCGAGATGTACATACGAAACATATATTAATTTTAGGGAGAGAGAGAACATATAATTTACCTTAGGCCATGGGAAGGCTAGTAGCTGCTGCATGACTATTAAGTGTCAGTGTCTTCACACTGGACAAGTGATCTCAGGGTTAGAAGGCTACGAGAAGCACTCCCCATTTTCCGGTTCATAGGCTGCACGAGAAGGGCACCCATTAGTTAAAATAGTACATGTCATAACATGGGCAATCATATCGGGCCAACTTCGAAGGTTGATGTGTGCCAATACATAATGACGAGGTACTCACGACAGGCAATAGTTCTATAGCAAAGACGTGCTGTCATTCTCTAAAACGCAACATCGACGAATAATATGGCCAGTGAACTTTCATGTGCAAAGAATATATAACATTCACAAATCATTGTTTCCTTCATATCTGCTTATTTGGTAACAATAAACATTAATCCGAACATTAAGGAAATGTTACGTTGATTCCAATTTCAACAAAACAGCATATAACATTCAATCTTTGCGATTTGATTATAAAGATGAAAGCTAAAGTTACTGGATTCCTTACTGACACATGTAATCAAATGAAGAAAAAAAAAGCATATATCAGAATGAATTTTCAATCATATTATCTGTATGCTGGACACCAGATTCTAAAGCCAAGGAAAGCAGCATTAGGGACTAGTAAAATTCAACTTACTTTGAAGCTGCATTTCCTCACTGTATTGAAATATTGCATGGCTTGCTTTTTAAGCCCCAAGGTTTAGGCAGCTCTCATAATCTATATGCAAAAGATACCTTTCAAGTATGAAAATGTAATTACATGGTATATATTAACTAAAATAATACTACATACCAGAGATAAAGATTTATCAATCAAGTCCAGGTCTCATAAGCCTTCAAAATGCAAGCAGAAAACCATTTCTCATACAAAATAATTCTAGGAAAGCTACAGGCACATACACATCTCATAAACATAATAGCAATATTTGAATTAACCCAACATCTCATGAAGCTCTCCTGCTCAGGACTTTCTTCCAATGTATCAAATCCATTCATCGATTGATTTCAAGAACAGGTTTTACTCTTAGCAAGTATGATTTTGGACAGTAGCTAGGGTCGGGATTTTCTCTCTGAGAATACAGAGTTCAAACTTTCCTGTCACCACTTAATTTGAGGTCATCATGGACAATTGTGAGATGGGCTCATGACTCACATGGTTGTGTTCACTAGCTATGTGAATAGAAAATCCTGAACCCGATCTGGGCTTAAGATATATATGTGTGCATATATATACACATTCTGAAATTTTCTGAATTTTCAAATCTACTCCTTGGGAAACTTGCAAGAGGACAGTCATTGCACTGATGCAATAAGATATTGTTCCAAGTGCCTCGAGGAAAAGTACATATTCTAAAAGAGATCCAGAAATAACATTCAAAATTATCATAATAGAAATTCTTAAGACTTATCTATAAACAGCTCTAGTAAAATACTAAAAGTAGGGTAAATAAACAATTTCAGACAATCTTTGGAGCCAGTTAAGATTATGAATAAATTATGTCAGCCTACGTGTAGACCCTATTGTTAACATTTTCCGAAAGCCCATACCAGAGAATGAGCTTCAGTGCCCCATTCTTTCACTAAAAACATGAACAGAAGCAACTTTCAGCAAGTGTAACTTGAACTCACACAAGCATAGATTTTAAGTAAACCAACTGAATAATATCTCTAATTAAGCAATACTACTGATATGACATATTTCAACACCATCCACGTGATAACGGTCGGTGACCATGACAGTGCCAACAAAAGAGCTCTAGGCTAACACGATACGGCACCTCATACCCGAACGGGACAACCACTTACCCACGTACTATTCGGCGTCGTACAAGTTGACGCCGCATACCGCAAAGCCGTTCCGGAAAGCTCGGAACGACGCCACAAGGTGCGGGTTCATACAGGTCGATCGGCGCTCGCCCGTAAGGTACAAGCCAACCGCCCGAAGAGTCGACAACCATTAACAGATCATGTATAACTGACCCTCGTTCGTAGGTATAAAAACCAACCCCCTGACCGACATCAGGGGGAAGGACTTCGAGCACTCAACTCCCTCTTACTCCACTCGACGCTAACTTAAACTTTAGAGGGGTTAAGTCGGGAAATCCCCCTCCCGACTTCGGCCTATGTGCAGGAACTCGATGACGAAGCAGGCAACCTGCCAAGGGAGAAAGCTAGCCTTGGGAGACGAGGATCGAACCCAACCTGACCCGACGCTCACTTCCACTATCCAAGCATTTGCGTGGGCAACTTTGCGCATTCGAGATTGGACCGAGCCGTGCTGACACCTCGACCACGGCATAAAGATTTCCCAACAATTACTAAGTTGGTATCTACAAAATTCCAAGATAGATTTCAAATGAATACTGTCATGTCTAAACAGTCTCCAAAATCTCATCATTGAACTGAATAGAGACAAAGAGCCACTGCTTGCTAATGCTTAGTACTAACTATTCCAACACATGACAACCCATAGCCCAAGAAAACCACAGTTCTGCTACAATTCCAATCGAAAAAATCAACAGGAATGACAAATTATATATGTCATGTTTCCTCCATTAGTAATATGCGGTGCAACGCAGATGTATCATAACGACGTAACAACAAATATAGCAAATTAATAGCACTAAAGCAAGTAATGAGAACTTGTATATAAATGTTATCTGATCTATGACAATCTATTACAACTTCAATCTAATGCTAGTCAATCATCAGTGAATGCTCTTTCAATGCAAAATTTAGAAACTTGAATGGATGCTTCATCTATAATTATTAATTACCAAGACACAAAATTAAACACAAATAAAATAAAAAATACATCAGATGCATACTTTAATATATCATATATTATAAAAAATCAGTAGAGATATACTAGTTTCAACCACAAAAAATTGTCCTGCATACCAGCTATCGCTGAAATTTGAAATACCTGAACAATGCCATACCTACCAATTACAAAAGTTGACATGGCTCTTGAGCCCAATTGTCTCCTCCTTACATTTTTAGAGGGACAATATCTGACATCTAGAGAATAAAATTTCAGTAAAAACCATCCTATCATGACATGAATGATTATAATATATATATATATATATTTTCAAACTCTAGCAGAGGCATAGAGCCAAACCACAAAACCTCTACCAACTACTGTTAGGTCTATACGATCACCGTCAACCATCTCACCTTAATTACGCATAAGGTAGAGAAGTATTAAACCTGCAGGTATATAGCATGTGAACGAAACAATAAGGTAAAAGAAAACTTCATTGAGATGAATGACATTAAAAGAGCTTAAGATCAACAGCATTCTTCAGTAGATCTACAACAAATAAGAGAACAACACAGTTATAGCATCGTTCACCCGAAATCAGATACACAGATCCAGTATTCTACGTGCTCCCAATCGAGTCCAATCTTGAAATATTAGGTCACAGACGAAAATTGAGAGAACAAAAGAAATCCTAAATCCAATAATTACTATGTTTACCGATGCCGCAAACTCAAGCCCCAATCGAGCATGCCGTGTCTTACGAAAAGATCATCATCGGATCCACATCAGATGCGAACGGAGGGCCCGGAAGAAGCGGCTGCTCCGCCAAGGAAGGACAGGAAGCCGCTGGCGGGAACCCCGGGGTCCTGATCGTCGAGGAAGAGGTCCTCGGGCACCCGTAAGGCCCCGTGAACGCAGACGACGGCTGCGCCAACCATTAGGGCGGAGACGATAAGGGATCCGACGGAGGTGAGGAAGACGACAAGGAGGGTGACAAGGACGAGGCCGGCGAGGATCTCCCGATCGGAAAAGGAGCGGTGGAAGAGAATGAGGGGGGGGGCGTCGGAAGGGCGGAAGAGGTAGAGGAAGGCCCAGGCCGCAAGGAGGGCGACGAGGAGAAGGAGAGAGAAAGGGTGGGAGAGGAGGGAGAGGGCGAGGGCGGCGGCGAGGAGGGCGAGGTAGTTGACACGGAAGTAGGCCAGGTTTTTGCGGAGGCGGGAGGCGGCATCGGAGAGGGAATCCGGCCGGGCGAAGGCGGAGCGATCGAAGAGCTCATACCAGGGACGACGGTGGGCGAGGGAGCGGCGGGCGGAGTCGGATAACCGGGAAAGGAAGAGGCGGAGGGCGGGGACGGAGATCGGCGGGGCGGAGGAGGGGGCACTGCCGCCGCCGGCCGTGGAAACGGGGAGGATGGGCGGCGGGGCAGATGCCATCGGCGGACGAGGGCACCAAGAAAAGGCGAACTGGGGTAGGCGGTAGATCTCTTTCGGACAGGAGAGAAGAGGGACGCCTAGCTAATGCGTTGGGTGAGATAATGGGGCGGCCGCGGAATTCTTTTGCGCTCTTTCCTCCAATAGACATCAATTATTATCGAATATTAACAGACGGCTGGCTCGATTGATAATACGCTGCGTTTACTATCTGTTCCGATGGTCTCGAAGTAGCTTATTTGCGCTAATAAATTCTGACATAGGCATTACATGTCACTCGAAATATCACTAATACAAGTCAGAAGCATAAAAATACATACATAACAACTTAAACATTTTAGAATTTTTATTATCATAAAAAGTTTCAAAAGGTACTAATATTAATATAAAAAAAATTATATATATATATATACATATATATATATATACTTCTTTAGTTTTACAAGGAGATATATATGCTCCTTAAAGTTAATTTTGGAGGTATATATATATAATTTTATCTTAATTATTGTTTGAAAATTATCAGAAACCCATTTAAAAATGAAGCAGGCAAACAGTGCTCAAAGTGAGTAAAAGCAAATATAGAAAAATATTTTATGATAATTCTTTTGCAAAAATTGCTGATAACATAAGCACAGAGGACCATATGCATGTTCCAAAATATATCATAGAAATAAGGAGGACAGATCACGATAGAGTTTTTTATTATTATTATTTGGCATTCTTTTAAGTATCCGCTGTGAACTGCATTAATTCATCCTGCATTTAAGCCTTGTGCAATGAGCCTCTAATTAACCTATAAACTCTGTTGGGATGCCAGCGTACACGACACATAAATCAATTAAACCTAGAGGCGGCAGAGAGGATACGAGGGCCTCCTAAAGGTTATCTTCAAAAGAACATCTATCCCCAAAAGAGATCAACATATTTTCACAACCTAAGAGGTTCAAATATTGAAGATACAGAATACCTCAACACATTAAATTGTAAAGCAGGCAAAAGAGAAAAAGTGGGAATCTGGAGACTAACACCACATTTGGTGCCAAGCTTAGGCAAGCAACAGGCCTCTCCAATCAGTTTGGACAGCAAGGAATAGTAACCAGCAGACTACAAACAAGAAACTTCACAAATTAACTGCACCAAAATAAAAAATAGCATTCTTCCCAAGTTCACCAGAGAAGAACAGGAGTTTTTAGAACCAATATACCAGAAACAAAACACCTACATTGAGCTTGTATTCCTAGAGTTCTACTCTGGCCCTCTGTTTAGAGATTAAGGTTATCAATGATGACTGCAACCTCTGTTGTCTTCTAACATGGGTTCCTCAAAAGATCAAATGGGAAATAAACTTACCAGTCCCAAGCAATTAGAAGATTGTGAAGCTAAGTGTACTTGTCAACCTAACAATATATACTAATGCTAAAGGAAATTGAGTATATGATGTATCTTTCTAATTATATGCCCCAATACTGCACATAAGAATGCCATCAGATTCTTCACATGCTTGACCTTCAACTCTCTGTAACATGATTCGAGCAGAAGAGTTAAGACCAAATCTCCAAAGTGCATTTTTTAGGACTCATTAGAAGTACACCTATGATTGAAACAGTAAGTTTCATGATTAGTTTCTAAAGAGCTGCCATTATCACTTTCCGTAGTCGACAATCGAAATAGCTACAGTTTGTCCTTCATTGCTGTGTAGTACTAAATACAAAGTGAGATGCATGATACAAATTCAAAGTGAAACTGAAAATTGTCTGACAATAGGTAAGAGCAAGCCAAAATATTCGAAAGTTGCTGTAAATAATTTCAAACAAAAATGAAGCTCACTTTGCATACATCAAGAAATAATTTTAATGTACCATGTCATGTTAAGTGTCATATATTTTAACACTGTAATTTACAAACTTATAGTGACCAGTGAAACCAATATGGATTCCCATTATGATCACAACTTTACAGAACATAAATTATACTTCTTTTTTTATTTAAAAGATAGAGTCTAGCTTCACAAGGATCATAAGAGCATAATTTGTACCTGATTCATCTTAATAATTTGACAACTCTTACTGCACAACTGGAATGTTTGTCAATTCAAATGCCTATCTGCAGAAACAATATATGCTACAAAAAACCATATAAGCTATTACAGAAAACAAACATTGCCAAGAAAAAAGAGTTCAACCAAAGAAGCAATTAGGCAAAAGATAATAGTGACGCTAAGCATAAAAGTCTATAAGTTTTTCCCGAGATGACAGATATTTTAGTAACAGTCAGGGAACAGATCAGACCATTATATTTATTTAAGCATAGAATTTGACCCCAACATGCTCAATCAAAAGCACCAAGGCCATACAAGTCCTAAAAAGTCGACCCGTTCCACCCAAAGTTTGAGCCCTGCCAATCAAAACCAGGTAGACCATCAGTATTTCGAGCTACAAAAATTGGTGAAATTTACACCATTTAGAATGGCAGTGACGATTAA